AAATTGTAGCACAAACTGTATATGCGGTACACGTAGAAAATTAGACAGACATATTTTATTGATAAGTTATCGTGGAATGTAACAGAAAGTTCTTTATAAATTTTTTTAAAGCGGGGTGCATGAAAATCTATATGATGCTCAACAATGTTCAATAGCCGGGGTACTTGATACTCAAGGTCCGGACGCCCGTAGTTAGTTCGCATAAGTGGTGGCATTCTCGTTTGGTGGCGTAATTAATATCGAGGGGGAGAAAGGGGCAGGCTACTAACATGGAGCCTGTGCTTTTTTATGTGCAAAAGTAATCTATAATAGTAGATTTGATTTGCTCTGATTAACGAGTGTTTCTCAAAAAGATTGTGTGTGGTGAAACGGTAAATCTCGGTGTGGTAAATCTCGTGGTCTACCGTGATAGTTTTCGAAAATTCGCATTGCCCTTTTTTGCAGTTTTATTAACTTGTTGTAATTTTTTGCAGTTGTTCTTCCCCATATTAACGTACAATAGCTAAGTTTTGAGTGAAAGAGGGCGTAGTACATTGCCTTCTTTAATGTTAGTAGTATAAGACTACTAATTTTATACATAGAGCCTACTACTTTACTGAGGTCACTGCTGAGTTTATTGATATGATTGTCCCAAGAGAGGTTTTCTTGAAACCATACCCCCAAAAACTTTTGCGCTGATACCTGTTCTATCTGCTCTCCTTTAAATAAAACAGTAATCTTGACAGGCATTGGCTTATTTATCGGTTTAAATATTATATACTTAGTTTTCTGACATTTAATTGAAGTTTGTTTAACTTCAGCCAGTCAGATAATAAATCTGAATAATCATTAATTTCTCTTTCAATCTGTTGTAGGGATGAATTTGAAAAGAAAAGATTAGTGTCATCCGCATACATGACTATGTTCAGTGTAGGTGAAATGCTTGAGAGGTCATTGATATATATGTTAAATAATACCGGGCCAAGTATTGATCCCTGCCGTACGCCAGTCTGTACTCTAAGATATGGAGAGGTCACCTGATAAAGTGAAACATACTGAAAACGATCCGTTAAGTAGCTTCGCATGAGATCAAACGTTGTACCGCGTATCCTATCTATCTATCTATCTATCTATCTATCTATCTATCTATCTATCTATCTATCTATCTATCTATCTATCTATCTATCTATCTATCTATCTATCTATCTATCTATCTATCTATCTATCTATCTATCTATCTATCTATCTATCTATGACTTTTAGCTCTCCTGGCCGTTTCAATAATGGTGTCGATGCCAAACTTGGCATGGCGTAATATGAATGTATGAATAACATATTTGAATACTCATAACATGAAAATCATGATGTGTATGTCATGAATGTCATGATTTGCATTTCATAGTCTTGCAGCTCTTGCAGAGGTTTCGTTCACTTGGCATGTTGCAAAACTGGTATGGTATAGCATGATTGCATGGCGACCTAAAGCGACAGACCCTAACATAAATATGATGACATGCGTGTCATGTCACAACATGACTACATGCCACGCTCATGATACGCTCACAGCCGTTTCGCTAGCATCACATATACCAAATTCGGTATTACAGTACGTCACTGGATGACGAAGGTATGTGACTGGTGCAAACATGATAATCATGAGATGCGTGTCATGTCACAACATGACTACATGCCACGCTCATGATACGCTTGCGGCCGTTTCGCTAGCTTCACATATGCCAAATTTGGTATTACGTGACGCCAATGAATGACGAATGTATGTGACTGGTGCAAACATGATAATCAGGAGATGCGTGTCATGTGAGAACGTGACTAGATGTCACAGTCAAGGCGTTAATACATTTCGACGTGACACGGTGTGCATTCTCGCATGCGTTCATTTCGTCGCGTCACGGTCCTGCCATATACTCGCAGGCGCGTCCGCGCTGCGTTGATTTGAAGCAAGCGCGTCTCAGCACGTCCAGCGTCCCTCCATCACGAAAAGAGGGAGACGCAGTGTTGTCTGGGTAATGCATCAGCGCGAAATGCAGCATGTCACATTACGCGCCGGTTATGCATTTCGCACCGGTTGCTCTCGCGCCGTGCCGACGGACGCTGGTCGCGCCTGGCGTCAGACTATAGAGTGCTCGCGTTTTGCTAACGTAGCGTCGCTGTGCCCAGCGCGCGTCAACGCTACATTGGAGTATATTGGGCGCTTCCTATGCGCTCGTGGCCGTTTGGCTAGCCCCACATACACCAAACTTGGTGTTACGTGACGACAATGGATGACGAAATATATGACTGGTGCAAACATCATAATCCTTACATGCGTGTCACGTAAGAACATGACAACATACCACGCTCATAGCGTGCTCGCGCCCGTTTCGCTAGCTCCACATATACTAATTTTTGCATCACGTGACGTGAATAGATGACGAAGGTAAACCACACATCCAAACATTATAATTATCTCACGGAAGTCATGTACAGCATCATTTACCTCCACCTCGTAACGATGTGGTGATTTTATCAACATTTATCATTCATGCTTCGCACATCATCGATTCCTACTGTACGTGGGATCTGCCAATTTTTTTTTTTTTTCAAACGAGAAACTCGCAAGCAGACGCTGCCTGTGCCAGTGTTTCGAGGCGAAAGAGGCGGGGGGGGGGGGGGAGACGCGCATGCGCAATGGGAGTGTAAACGCTTCGGGGAGGAATGTCTTAGAGAGGAGGGCGAGCGTATATAAGCAGATGCTGCCTGCGTCAGCGTTGCGGAGTGGTTCTTAAGAGAAAAGAAGAGAAAAGTGAGCCCCGTTATTGTCTGCTTCAGTGAGCGACACCGCCACAGAGCTCACAAAGGGATGGGGGTAAGGAGGGATAAAAGGGTAGAAGTAAAGGTATAGGAAAGAGGAAGAAGAAGCAACAACAAACTGAGGGGATAGGAGAGACAGGAAAGATGGAAGAACGGTCACTGGAGTCCGAGGACGGGGTACACTTGCGAGAGATGTTGTCGGCGTCTGTAGATGGCGTAGAGCAGGTCCAGTAGGTCAGAGCTGCGCTGTCACCGAAGACAGCCGGCGACAGGAGGTGACGTAGGGCCAGCCCAGTCGGCCAGAGCTACGATGACGCCGAAGGTCGCGAGCGCGCGGAGCGCGCGGGCGCACAACCGGTCGGCACGAATAGAGCAATTTTACCAGAAAGTTAGAAAACGTGTGTTGTATAAAACTGGGAGTCCCTTCGGGTTCCTAAATTTCTGTTTGTTAGATATGATTTTCTTTATCGCGCATTTCCCCTTCAGTTATCGCAGGATGCCGTTGCTGCCGACGAGACAGGGCGGCTCATACATACGTCCTCAAAGAATCATAATGAGTTTAATATGCATTAGTGAGTAGCTGCTGTCTCCTTCGTAAATTTCTTAAGCGCACCGAGAGTCAGAGATATGCTTTTTTTTAGAAACGATAGTCTTTTTTTGTGTTTGGAGAAAATGTTTAATGATTTCGAGTACTTCGTACTCAACTATGGGAGAGCACTGAGCCGTCCCGCTGTTCACCCTTCGGTTGCTATGGATTATGTTGAACGTCTTTTTGGAAAACTTCAACGCAGAAAGTTCGCCCTGTCTGTCGCTCGATTAAGCCACCTGGAGATAATCTAATCAACGCCCAGCCTTCTTGATCTGGTGGCTGCGTTCATACTTGTACACGTTGTCGATCAAAAAGCAAATATTACGACGCATATCTGAGACACAACATCAATACGTATTAGGTAGTGTGTTTCTTTATTAGAAAATGCACAGATACATGATTCCGAACGAACCAGCCGGTGTTTCCTACGCCTTGTTAAGACGTCCAGTGCTGCCAGCTACCTGTGGCTCTGCGTTGTACACAAGCTTGTGTTTCGCAACCTTACTACGAAATGGCGTCCATGTCTCACACAGTCATCATCATCAGCCTAACTACGTCCACTGCAGGACAAAGGCCTTCTCCCATGTTCCGTCAGTTAACCCGGTCCTGTACTTGCTGCTGCCAATTTATACCTGCAAACTTCTTAATCTCATCTGCCCACCTAACTTTCTGTCTCCCCCTCACCCGCCTGCCTTCTCTGGGAATCCAGTTAGTTACCCTTAATGATCAGCGGTTATCCTGTCTACGCACTACATGCCCCGCCCATGTCCATTTCCTCTTCTTGATTTCAGCTATGATATCCTCAACCCCGGTTTGTTCTCTAATCCACTCTGCTCTCTTCTTGTCTCTTAAGGTTACACCTACCATTTTTCTTTCCATTGCTCGCTGCGTCGTCCTCAAATTAAGCTGAACCCTCTTTGTAAGTCTCCAGCTTTCTGCTCCGTAGCTAAGTACCTGCAAGATACAGCTGTTATATGCCTTCCTCTTGAGGATTCTTATTCTTCTAGTTACTTCAATATCGTGGTCTGGCTCCGCGGTTATTACCTGCCCTAAATAGACATAGTCCTTTACAACTTGAAGTGCACTATTACCTATCTCGAAGCGCTGCTCTTCACACACACACACAGTGCCTCCAGACACACAGTGCCTCCAGACACACAGTGCCTCCACACAGTGATCTCACACAGTGCCTCCAGACAAAAGACTATCGTTTTTCGGTTACATTTGCAACGAGGCACGCAGATAGGCGACCCCTTTGTTCCCACAGGGCTAAGATTCACACCGTCACTGATAGGCCTCAGCGCCCTACACACCTGTCTTACTATTTTATTCTTTTCATCTGGCTAATCTCCCGGCCTTCTTATCTTCATATCTTGTCGCAATGAGAAAGCATTTAGTGTCACATATTGTGCGTATTTCAGCTGAAGTTAATGCACGAGAAAGGGCGAGTGATTTACTTCTGCCTACAGTGACAACTAGGGCTCTTGTTCACCACAAACACAAACGTCAATTGCGCTTGCGTCGTGTAATCAATCACCGCCTTACGAAAAGCATTCGCCCAAGTTCCCTCGCGCACATGCACAACGAACTTGCTGCTTGTTGTTGCTGGACGTTTCCACAGGACTCAACTTCCGCGTTCGCGCGGACACCAAGGATCCTCGGAACGAGAACATGGCCTTCTCGGCATTGGTGCACGCCACCAGCAGCTACACTTCTGGGATCATCCACACTTTCCGCTTCCAAGCGGGTCGGAAGTACACCATTTCCGTAGCTCAGGTGAAGATGTTACCCGCCTGTCTATGTTGAATATTAGGGTGGCTAGCGCATTCGAGAGTGAGAGTTAAAGTTGGAGAATACTTGCAACAAGCGCAGTTTAACTACAGTGTGGTGAGATTGACGAGGTCAGATATTCATTGCTGCAAAGCGTGATCGTAATGTATTACAAGGCAGGCATATTTTGGCAGAAAATAACGCAGAGTAAAGGCCGTATTCAATATGCTGGTACTATTTATACATTAGGGACATCACCAAAATGACTATTAATGCAGCTATCATCTGATATCGGGTGTCAATTTCAAGTTCAAATCAGTAGGTCCACCCTTTCGTTGCGATTACCGAAAAATACTCAAGATAACGCATGTGCTTGAGTAGTTCATTGTCAGGCAGTTAGTCTGCCTTGAGCTGTACCTTTTGTTCATTGACATATCAGCAATAACATCGAAAAAAATAAATGAAATGAAATGTGGTATATTTGTCTTTGTTTTGGACAAGTTACCTACAGTGGTAAGAGTTTTAAAAAATTCAGTATTGTGAGCCACGATAACCGTATCGCTTAATAAGTACGTTGCCATGCGAAAACTCATTGAAATCTTCTCAGTTATGTTTTTTATCGACATCGCTGACGTAATTCTCGCAGACGGAGCTGGTCTCGTTGCCTCTACCTTACGAGACGCGATGCATTGACTACGAAGCTACGGCAGATGAGTCCTTGTATGACGAGAAAGAGATTCAAGAAGAGGCAAGTACTCGACTTTGACTACGGTAATGTGTCGAGTGGTAACACTGCAAATGTATATCGCTTCTTAAGAAATCTTATCCCTGCCTAGCCACTGTCGATTCATTTACCACCTCAAGATTTTACAGTCTAGTGGCTAAGGTACTTGGCTGCTGACCCGCAGGTCGCGGATCGAATCCTAGCTGGGGCGGCTGCATTTCCGATGGAGGCGGAAATGTTGTAGGCCCGTGTGCTCAGATTATGGTATGTTAAACAACCCCAGGAGGTCGAAATTTCCGGAGCCCTCAACTACGGCGTCTCTCATAATCATATCGTGGTTTTGGGACGTTAAACCCCACAAATCAATCAATCAATCAATCAATTAAGATTTTACAGAGCAGGTAAGCTCACCAAAGCGACACCAGATACTCAGTATCATGTTACTGAGGCGCCGTTGTTTTCGTACTAAATCAAAATGTGTTGCCACTCCGCAAATAAGCTTCTGGCGTAATTCACCCAGCTTTCGTTTTTTTCGCCTCCCAGTAGCTCGGTCCAGTATTTCAGATTTCACGCCTTCGTTTTTAGGTCAAGTGTTACCTGTGCCGAGACTTTTTATGTTCAGCTCAGTTAACAGGCAAACTAACTGAGGAGGAATGATCGTATGCTTCACGTTCTGTAAATATCTATTCGTCTTCTCTGTCAAGCTACGTATTACGAGCCATACCGATTTTTCGACTTTTTATACATACATGTGAATTCATTTCGCATACCGGAACTCGCGCTCAGATCCTCGTGACTCACGTCCTCTTGAATTGTACTGCGTCTGAATACAAAGTGTTCGACTGGATTACATGTTTTCCTCTCTTCCTTGTTTTTCTTCTATTCTTGTATTTCTTTCCACCCTCCTCTTTTTTGTTCTTATGTTTCGTTTGATAACTGAGAAGGAGGTCATATACCTCGTGCCACCATAAAGGCACCGATCTCACCTGCCATAATTTCAATAAAAAAAAATCAAAGGTATGGTAATGCTTTTCCTAACATACTAGCAATGACGTGCTCACGTGTTCTTTCAATTTCTGCTGCCAGGAGTGCAGCGAGTTTTGCGTGGCGCAAAGGTGGATTGATACGTGCGGCTGCTTCTCCAAAATGTATGCCGTGAAACATCGCATGAGCGGAACTGTGTGCGAATATGTGCCACATAGTAAGTGAAGAATCTTTCCGCTTCTTTCCGATTGCTTTCCTTTTCTTATTGTCTTGACTTGGCTAAAGCACAGTGATCAGCCATGTCACATGAAGCATGCCGTACTGCTTTACACTTTTTACACTGCGTAGCTAAAATGCAGAGGATTTCTATTTTGAGAGGTAGGCAAAGAAATTGCATGATACCATCATATGCTACAGGTATACAGTGAACTAAGCTTACAGCAGGTCAGCCTAAAACATAACATCGTTCAGGGCGAACACGTTAAGGGGGTTTATCGCCCGAGAGCAAAGCTCCTGGCTCGCGAAATGTGAATTGCGGCAATCAAAACGAATGAGGCCGAAACGTCACACACACACAAAAAGACATCACATGAAACTGATTACGTCCTATAAAAATTATCGCAACGATGTAAATCAGGAATTTGTGTGTCGTAATAATGACATAATCAGTGACAGCACGCATGACGCGTCGTCTCCTGTACAAAGGTTCACCGGACCCGGATGTAAGGCAACACCTGGTAAGGTGTGGAAAGCTTGAGGTTATCGAATGTAAAGAAGAAACTATGTAGAGCCAACTGGAATTGCGCTGAGCCATACTCCGCCACGCCGCGGTGGTCTAGTGGCTAAGGTACTCGGCTGCTGACGCGTAGGTCGCGGGATCGAATCCGGCTGCGGCGGCTGCATTTCGATGGAGGCGAAACTACTGTAGGCCCGTGTGCTCAGATTTGGGTGCACGTTAAAGAATCCCAGGTGGTCGAAATTCCCGAAGCCCTCGTATGGTGTCTTACATAATCATATCGCGGTTTGCGGACGTTAAACTCCACACATCGATCATCAATCTGAGCGATGCTTTGGCGAGATTCGCCAAAACTAATCACCCAGTCATTCAATCCGTCTATCAATCAATTTTATTTGGCATTCATACGACTTCATTCCACAGTAAACCACTACTCTCCCATTGTAATTTGAGTGTCACGTGATAACCCAGGTTCTCATTCACGCTGATCTTGGCGCTTCTTGAAGGGACTGTCTACATTTAGGGAGCGAAGCTCTTTTATTGTCTAGGTCAGCCCATCCCTCCGGCGTAGCCAGCACAGCATATCCACAGACAGACAGACATACATCCAGACAGACACAGACACAGATAAATAGATAGATAGATAGATAGATAGACAGATAGATAGATAGATAGATAGATAGATAGATAGATAGATAGATAGATAGATAGATAGATAGATAGATAGATAGATAGATAGATAAACAGACATCATTCACTCCGTAGACATGCTGCGATTTTTTTCCTCTCGACTATTTTGATATCGATCCAATTTAAAACGAGAACTTATATGCAACACTACTGTATTGATAGCGTGCGCTTAGTGCACCTCTCAATATCTGTCGTAACTTTTTGACGTTCCACTGTGCCCAATTTGATGAAGATCGCTGGACTCTCCAGTGTGCCTTGAATAGACTCGATGACCAGCCATTTAATGAAGCAAAGATCTTAGGAGCCTGGTCGCACAGCGCATCAGCACAGAAAGCCACACGAGCCCTCCTGAGATACTTAACAGCAACTTCATTGAGGGACCACCTGTGAAACTCGGCATTGTGTGGGTGATCTGTGTCTATCCTTCTCTCTCTCTTTTTACTTCCCCTCTCCTCCTCCCCATGTGCAGGGTAGCAAACTGGACGCATAGTCTAGTTAACCTCCCTACCTTTCCTACATTCCTTCTCCTCTCTCTTTCTCTTTGACGTTCACTTTTTCATTTGTTCGCAGTGCGCTGTATCGACGAACTGATACGTCAGAAGTGGTTTGTGTCCTGCCAGAACGAATGCACCAGAGGATGCAAGTACGGCATGTATTAACAAAGCTCATAATATTGAGTGGTTCACTTGGCGTTGGCGATTGGTGTTAAGGAAATATACTCGGGGACAACATTTGTAGGCATTTAATCGAAAGAGAATGGAGCGCAGCTTCTGCACATGCAGCCAGCCATACGCGAAGTAGTCCGATTCGGCACGTGTCTCGTAACGTACGCGGTGGAAAGTGACGGGGGTGCAGCATCAGCGTCTCATGTATACGTAGACGAAGACGCCGCTCAGCGTTTGAGGTACACGTAAAAAATTGCCCGCAGCTTCCCTCGGGGGAACACTGAGGAGGATGCGGAGCATATAATTGGTTAACAGGGTGTTAAAGTGCGACTTATTTGGGTCGATGGCTAAATTGGTTAACGTGGTTGTGAAATGGGGTGTTAAATTGCGACTTACTTGGGTCGATGGCTAAATTGGTTAACGTGGTTGTAGGAGGGGGTGTTAAATGAGTGAACACGTACACACGTATGCGAAAGGGCGGCGCTGGTCGAAGGGACGTCGATCATTGTGTTTGTGGATTCGTTGGAATTCATTTCACCGCGACCTTGGACGTCGACGCGCCGTACAAACCAACCGACGAGCGGCAACTGAGCGAGCGAGCGCCGACCTTGAGTATATATACAGCACGACGGCGCATGCACTGTCAGCTGTTGAATGTTCTCGAAGCGCGACGCCACATGCGCGTCCACTGGAGAATCAGGAGAATTGTAGATGTCGAACGCGGTGTGTAGAGGAGGAAGGGTGCACAGATGGTGGAGGAGTGTAGTGCGCGCGGTGTGTAGAGGAGGAAGGGATGCACAGATAGTGGAAGAGTGGGCGACGGCGCGACGGCGCATGCGCGCGCGTCAGCTGTCGAATGTTCGAGAAGCGGTGCGGACGGCGCGGACGGCGCACTACAAGGCGCGAGTATAAGATGCTTCCGCATCTAAAAGGCAAGACTTTCTCACTCGTCCGAAAAGGCTATAAAGTTAAACAAATACAACTGTCTTGCTGGTGTGCACTGCGTCCGGTCTCAAATAGCTCCACGCAGAAAGTAAAGAACATTTATTTCTGACGTTAGAAATGCCGGCGCTATTGTGGAACTGCAATGACTGGTGGTAGGATGCACGCGATTCGGCTCGACAGCCTTGGCCTGAATGCCAAGCAACGTTGTCACCGAGTGTAGCTGTTCTTACCCTGTGCTTCGGCATTACCTTACCTGTCACGAGGAAAGCGGATCGAGATATGCAACGTTCATTTTTTTTTCATATTCCTCGGGATCTTTTTCAATAAAGTTTATAAACTAAAGACCGTGTGAAACAAGCAAGGGGCCATTTGATAATATTTCGTCTGTTTGCGATTAGCGCTGTTCGCTTCCTAAAATGTAGACAGTGTTAAAGAAAATACTTGAGTAACGAAGAGTGCCCAAAACAATTGACAAGATTGTTGCCGCCGTACATTCGTGAAATGTACTTAATATAATTCGCTGCTGTCTAAATGAGCAGACACTCATCCTGAGGTCGTTACCCACTTTTATAAACACACAGTTCTTCAGTAAGATGTTAGGCCTACGGAACGGCTTTCTGCTCTCCCATAGTAGAGTACATCCTACTCTAAATCATCAACAACAATTTCTACACACACACTATTGGTTACTAAGGAGGCCCAAGCGACGGGGTTCAGCTTTCCCATAGTAGAGTACTCTAAATCGTTAACCACTTTTTTTTCTAAACACAATATTGAGCACTTGTTCAGTGTCAGGCTCTCGGAACGGCCGCTTCATGCGCTCCCATGCATAGTAGTGTACTAAGTACACTAAATCATTAACAACTTCTTCTAATCCCCTCATCATTTTTTTTATAAACGTACAGTGTTGTGCCGGGCAGCTTACGGCTTTCCGCTTTCTCATAGTGGAGCGCTTATCGTGCGCTAAAGTGCTCACAGTGTATTAAGACGATCGAGACCAGGGACTGCTTCGAACGAATACGGTTTATTGGAAGAAGTGAAGTAGCGCGAGCTCGCTCCAGGCAGCAGTCTTCTTTCTTCTTCTTCCGGCGTTTGATGATGATATTTTATAGGCTCCCGCCCGCCCAAGTTGAAATGTGATAAGCTCTGGCGGGCTGTTTGAAACAACCTTCCATTGGGTATATGTGGTTCACTGATCCTCTTAGAAGCTCTTTTTTGCCTGTGCGAAGAAGACAAGCTCTTGTGATTCCGTCTCGCCCAGGGTAGAGCTTTTCAATCCGGCACATTTTCCCAAATGTTCTTGGAGCCTTGCCCTCAACCAACACGATGTCACCCTGTGAAAGTGGTTTTGCTTGCCGTGTCTTGGCTTTGACCGTAGCTCCTATTTCCTTGATATATTCTTGATGCCATCTTTTCCACCAAGCGCGCACGAGTTTGCATCTGCGTCGCCATGCGTCTTCAATGTCACCGTTGTATAGTCTTGTTTGTCCGTCTTGAAGCTGTCGCCATCCACCTATCATGTCTGCCGGCGTTAGTGGCATTGGCTCGTCAGGTTCTCCATATACGTAAGTCAATGGTCGATTGTTGAGTGTTCCTTCAACTTCTGCTACAATAGTGCGTAGCTCCTCCACCGAAGCTGTGCTTTTCGATATTATTTTTCGCGTCGACGTCTTCAAGCTTCTTATGAGGCGCTCGTAAAATCCTCCCCACCATGGCGCGCACTCGGCTATTGTTTTCCATTTAATTTGTTAACCACTGCAGTAATTCTTTAAGACCTTGTTGTTAATTGTTTCGAGCATTCTGTTGATTTCCTTTCCAGCTTTTATAAATGTTTTGGCGTTGTCCGAGTATATTACGGCTGGTATTCCCCTTCGAGCTGTAAATCGTCGGAATGCTTGTAAAAAACTCGACGATGACAAATCGTTGGTAACTTCCAAGTGTACTCCTCTTGTTACCGTGCAGGTGAATATCAGTACATATTGCTTCACAATCTGGTACTTGTCCTTTGCGTAAAGAGGTCCTGTGAAGTCAACTCCCGTAACTTTGAATGGCTCTGCTTCAGTGACTCTGTCTGCCGGAAGTGGAGGTATGTCTTGAGTCGCCGGTCTGGAGTTATGCCTCTTGCAGACGACACATTTGTTTAGAACTCTTTTCACAGCTTGTCTACCCTGCAATATCCAGAACTTAGTTCGAAGTTGCGCTAGCGTCACTTGAACTCTTCCGTGTGATACCGTTTAATGCACGTGACGTATCAGCAGTTCCGTGAAATGCTCATCCTTTGGAATTACTATTACGGGTTTGTTGAATTCTTGGCTGCACTGCAATCGTCCTTTCTGTATGAAGCCCAGAAGCATTGTAAATCCTCTAGATCGAATATCCATGTGAGAATCGTCTCCTTCATCTTTATCAATTATCCTGTTTAATCGCTTTTCATTGGATGTCCATTTTCTCAAATTCATCGCTGCCCCTCTGAACACTTGCTCTGCCTCTTTGTACAACTTAATTGCTTCATCAAGCGTTGCTGCTCCCAAAATGACATCATCCACGTAGATCGCTTTCTGCAGTGTCCTTGTCGTATCAGGAAACTGGTCTTCCACTTGTTTCAAATGGTGTTTAATGGTAGCTGCCAGTATAAACGTGCTTGGTGTTGTTCCGAACGTTACTCTTGTCATGCGCCATGTTTGCATTTCATTCATTAACCTTCCTTCAGCGTCATGCTTTCACCACAGAAATCTCATTGCATCTCTATCCTCTTCATGTATAGAGATTTGTAGAAATGCCTTTTCAACATCTCCAACTAACGCCACCTTTTCTTTTCGGAAATTAATGAGCAGCGATAGCATGTCCTCATTCGAATTGGGTCCTGCCTCTAGGTTCTCGTTTAGAGACATGCCTTTTTTAGAATGTGATGAGGCGTCAAACACTACTCGAACCTTTGTTGTGGCTCGGTCCTCTCTAATGATCGCATGATGTGGCATGTAGTAGCAAAGTGCATTTGGCTGTTCTGATGGCTCTTGGACCTCCTCTGCGACTCTTAATGACATGTACTCTGATATAGCTTTGTCATAGCGATACAGCATGCCTTCATTTTTTTGCAGCCTTTTAGTCAGTTGCTGTAGTCTTTTTATCGCATTTTCCTTGTTGCTTTCCAAGTTTACGTCCTGTTTCCATGGCAAGCTGACTTGATAGCGACCGTTTTGTTGTACAATCTTGCGCTCTAATTCTTCGACCACTTCATTTCCGGTGTTATCCAAACTATTTCTTGTGATCCCCATTGACTCCAGGCTCCAGAACTTCTGTAGCTCTTGCTGGAGTTCTGTCTCCGCAGCTTCGACCTTCAAAACCATGACTGCTTGATTATGTGTTAGTTTTGTCTTGCTTTGTTCTGACGGCCCTTGCAGTACCCATCCCAGTATAGTTTCTACAGCCATCAGTCTGTCCTCGATTCTTTGAGTTTTACCAGTAAAAAATTCCCAATAGTAGTCTGAGCCGATCAGTAGTTGTACAGAATTTGTTGCAGTCGTCTTGGTCCTGTGATCAGCCACTTGCATATTTAGCTGTTTCATTTTCTCGCTTAGTTTCTTAGTTGGAGTGGGTATACAACTGTGCGAGATAACGTCGACTTGTAACGCTTCAATCACTGTTGTCGTGCTTGTTTCTCGTGATCCTACAGTCACTTGCACCACGTTCATTAGTTTGACCTTTTCGTCTCCTCCAAATGAACCAATCGTCAGCCTTTCCTGTCGCAACACCTTCGCACCTATTTCTTTCGCTAATCCCGCTTCAATAAATGAACGTTGACTTCCGCTGTCTAATAACAAACGGCAATGTCGGCCACATGTTTCTCCTTTTACGCACGCTACAGCCGTCTGCAAAAGCACAAACTTATGCTTGATATTTTCGGTTGCTTGTAGCGTAGACGTCGTCGCTTCGGCTTGCGCTGTTGAGACCAGCTCTGCCCTTGTTTTCTGCATCACCGTTCTACACACTGACGTGGCATGTCGTCCCTTGCATTGCTTGCATTTTACTTGGGCCTCGAAAATGCGTGCAGTGTGGTTTGGTCGCGTGCATCTGAAGCATGCTCTATTTTCGGTAAGCATAGCTTTCTTTTCATCCATTGGAATGCTCCTACGACAGTTTTCGGTTGCGTGGGATTTCTGCTTGCAGAATAAGCATATTCTGTCCGCTGAGCTATAGAAGCTTGAAGTTGTGCGCGTCTGTCCGCGGTTCTCTCTTGGTTTTGCAGTTATCCTCTCTTGTTCACGTTGTGTTTCTTCACGAAAACACGCTTGCTCTCTTAAGAATAACATAGGCCTGTCCAGCTTTTCCTCGCACGCTTTTCCCGTTGCGTTGTTTTGCTCGCCGTTTTCTGAAGCTGAGCTGTTTCTCATAGCCTCTTTTGACTTGAACTGCACTGATAATTCTGGTGGAATTGCTCTTTTCAATACTGGTAATAACATCGGCGCATAGCTCTCGGTTTCCACTTTTAGTGACTTGAGTGCCAATATGTTAACTTGCACTCTCTGTACTAGCTATTTAAGTCATCGGTATCTTGAACAGACCTCCCTTTCTCCAAACTCAATAGCTCATGTGCATTTCAATGGAATGTTCTCGATTGCCGAACGTTTTTTGCAGTATTTTGATTGCGTTATCATAATTTTCCTTTGCCGAGTACTGAAGTCCTTCAATAGCAGCCGCAGCTTTTCCGGTTAGTGATGCTAACAAGTAATTGAACTTCTGTCCCTTGCTCATGTTCGGTCTCAGGTGAACTGCCGACTCGTACTGAGACCAAAAGCGGTTCCACTCCAAAGTTTTTCCCCCAAACTTTATCATTTCAAGCTTTGGTAGCTTAACTAGTTCCGTTGCTTCTTGTCCTGTACTTGAGGGCATCACCTGCCTTGTCCTATCGCTTGAATCCGATTGTTCAGGCTGTCGAAATCTGTTTTCTATTGCAGATAAGATAGCCGTTAATTTCATGTCGTACTCTATGACGCTTTCGAATTCAGCTTCGGCATTGTCTTCTGTTAGAAACTTTTCCATTTGCTCGTTTGCGCTCTTGAGACTGTCGCTTATTGCTTTAATCTGCGCCTGCGTTGTAAGCAGCTGCTCCCGGTTAGCTCCATCATTAATTTGCTGCTTGGCTGCGTTAATCAGCCTCGTGATCTGAGAGCGAAGCGCTTTCATTTTCTTCGTTATCACTTCTTTGCTCATATTGAGGCGGTTAACAATGACTCCATACTTGTCAATCGTTTGTTCTGATGCTCGTACTGTCCACCGTGGTCTCGTCGCTCGATCCAGGTCGATCCTCTGCTCCTCTGCCGTCTTCTTCTCTGCTGCTCTGTGGCAGGTTGACCTCTCTTGCCGGCGAGGAGGTAGTATCCTGGTTCACGGCACCATTATTAAGACGATCGAGAGCAGGGACTGCTTCGAACGAATACGGTTTATTGGAAGAAGTGAAGTAGCGCGCGCTCGCTCCAGGCAGCAGTCTTCTTTCTTCTTCTTCCGGCGTTTAATGATGATATTTTATACAGTGTATGCTCCACTGAAGTGGTTTTGTTACACACGGTGCATTTTTACTCACCCGAATTGACGCTGAGGCATGCTCCCGTTTAGGGTTGCAGAAATTGCGTCTTTTCCTTTTTCTCAACCTCTCTTCACCCCTCGTTTCACTCATCTGAACTGCTGTTTCTAGTATAGAATAAAATTACCTTTTTCAAGAATAGGCTGAAATTGCGTCTATAGCGTTGGTATGAGCTATACCGACGCAATTTCCAAGTTTTTATAGTGTAAGTGCCTCTACTGTTTGCGAATACTGGTTGAATGAACTTTCCTTTGTTTCCCTTTCACTTTTACAGGAATGTGACGATGTCGTGTTACCAGTGTCGCATTACAACGAATAGGCTAACTAGTACTCGATCAGCCAGAGTTTCTACGCCGTTGCAATTGCAACAGTAAGTTTTACTGTCGGGTGCCTTCTTTTGAGAACGCAGTCAGAGCTTCAATGGCAGAGCTTTTGCGCATTCGATTTCTAGCAGAGTTAGGCAAGGCGCTTTTATCTCCCCGCCGGGGAGATAAAAGAGATCCACCCAGGCATCAAAGCGGTTATGATGTCTGGGTGGATATTATGCGCTAGCACAGTTTTTCAACTGGAGTGACATAAAAGTTTACAAAATCAGGAGAACAAATGGAGACCATTCAAATTAGATTTAACGCTTAGGAGTGTGTCTCGTCAAAATGTTCACAAGTAGGACTGAACCAGAGGTTGGGCTAAATAGCGTGCTCTCTATTAGGTGTAGGGCGTCAGGGGACGTAATCACAATGGTGTCCTCGCTGAAAAATTTCTTTGGTTATTATTTCAGTCAATCACAATATGGAGCATATCCTAGCTGGCTGACCAATGGGAAAACGTAGTTGCGAAATGAAAGTTCTGTGCATTCGACCCTAGTTCTTCATTTTAAGCTGCTCTGTGGGGATGCTACGTTTGCTGGTGCTTCACGACACTAAGCGTCGTATGCTGACGACCATAAGCATGGTACTAAGTATGCTAAAGTCTTCAGCCCGTAAACCTATACAAACGCAATAGCCGAAGTAGAACTATACTCAATAGTGCTCACTGATTGGGCACAGCTTTTGTTCAACACGGTTTCGAACAGTTATCTTTGCATTAAAACTAAACTGAACGACATATTCTGTCGTTTTTTTTTCAGAGACACTCGTTATAGAGGCCTGATGTTTCAAACCGGATTCATCACGGACTACGTGAGATACGAGTAAGTTCTGCTCGGAATCAATGCTCCTTTATTGTCCATTTGTTCTACTATATCTACGCGAAGCATGATTGTGGTTCAGCTTCATGTTGTCGCTCGGTTTAACATGTGGCTGAAAATACGGAGGATACGTCCACTACTACAGCGGGGTTGGCTATGACCGATTTAACGTTTCTTCTATCCCAGCAACCTCGAGGCAGACCTCACGGTGGTTCTCGGCTCCACAAAGCGCAAGATTGTCAGCAACCTGCCAAGAATGACGGTCTGTGTTTTTTTTCTTATATACAACAGAGTTTTGTTACATTTGCCTCGAAGCCAGATCCTATATGTTTCACCAGTTATAACTCGCAGTCAAATACTAGCAATGCTACAAAGAAATGTGAGTGGAACTGGATGTTCTCACAAATAATGATGAAATACATAGTATAGAGAAATAATTTGCTCGGTCATATGGTTTCCCGCCATATCATAATTTTAGTCGCATCTATCATACTTACTAAGTCAACTGTGTCTTCACGTGGACGTAAATATACAAACTCTGCCTTCAAGTTTGTCGATAAAAAAATGAAAGGACCTAAGTTTTATAATTACCACAGTTACTGAGCCCTCTGTGATTAATTCATAATTCCTAACGTATTTGGAGTCGCTGTCAATTGTACAGTGTTCGTTGTTTACTTCGTTTGAACAATTACCTTATTAACATGTTGTACAAATCACAAACATAACACTGCATTAACCACTTATGCCCCCTTCCTCCCCTGCCTCATGTAAGGCCTCTAGTGGGCCTTTAGTGTATTTGACTGAATAAATAAGCATATAGTATCGCCGAGGTGCTGTTTAATAGAACCTCTTCATTGTAAACCCAATGAGAGAAAGGAAAGGCTAACAACTTATTGGTCAACCACGATGCCTGTATGCGTCTCGAATTTGGTGTCTTACGTTCAGTTGTTGTAAAACGCTACCACATACTTTCCTTACGCGAGGGCACTCACAGGTAAACTTGTTGGTTATTATCTTTATTATAAAAACAGCGAACTTGTCGAGATGTAGGTGAACACCAAATAATTTGCCGAGAAACTCGCGCCATTTTCTGTTCACACAGGTCTCCGAAGTACTGTGTGCCTACCTTTATAATGTAAATAAAATATACCTTTGTGCTGGGCGATTTATGTTCACACTGGGAGATTTACCATAGTACGTATGATGAAAATTAAAAAAATCTTTCATTTTTATTGGCACCGAGATAGAGCGTGAAAGCAGTTTTTTCCATAGAAATCGCGCTTCACAAACTTAATAAATTGTCAAGGTTTGCGTACGTTAGAATATTTTACTTATATACAAAAGCTGTTTAAGGAGTGACTCTTTGCTTCCTGCTTTTTTTTTGCATGATATTGCATGACATACTACAACAGTTGATATACTCCTTCAGCGCTGTTATTGATGGGCCTCCTAGCTTGTGTATAAGTTTATGTCAGCTAGACTGTGTGTGTATCCGTACCTACTGCGCTGTGTTGATTGCGACAGGACAGTAATCGTTGTTCGACCAATTTCAAGCAACTTAGCTGATTTGGTAATAAAAAAAAAAACAGTCTGATGAATACTTTTCTTTCTGACTTCGTCGTTGTCTTGATCGTGTCATTTCATTTGCATCCTCCAGATGGCCGACTTCCTTCTTTACCTGTCCGGTCACGTGAGCATGTGGCTGGGCGTGTCACTCATTGCTGCAGGCCCCCTGGTGGTGGAAGGGGTCAAGTACTTGGAGCGGCTCTTCAATGCCTTCGCAACCTCCATGGACTTTGTCGTAGACTAGTGACGTTGCATGTATTTGTGTGCTGACGTCAAGCTTATACTAGCAAGACGGTTGCTACGCATTCGGACCCGCTACAACGACAGAGCCCGCTTTCGCAAGCAAAACATGGTAAACGATCATCGATATAATATTAACATTATGTTCATTTATTCATTCGCTTACCTACCCCCAGCTCCTGTCGGATAACTTCGAAGACGAATATGACAAGCATTGAAAAATATAATAAAACAAAGGAGCCAATAATGTCTGATGCAAAGTGTATTTTGGTGACTCTCGTTCAAATGCAGTGTGCACATACAAGGCGGAAAAGGCCAGAAAAACATGGAAGAGGTTTAAAAACTGAGAAGATAAGGACTTTTATTTCAGGCAGCAGGCGGGAACAAAAGAGAGAAACGCAAGGGTGACGATTGCGCATGAATGATACTTGAAAGCATGTTATCATTTAATATCAACACTTTGTCCGTCTGGATATGGTATCGCAGTTAACGCCACTCGCAATAATGAGTGAGTCGTTTTTTTTCACTTTATCATTTTAATTAAATGGATGATGTCATATAAACTGATATTGTATATATATATAAGGTGTCACATAAATTGTCATATAAACTGTCATGAACTGGGGAGATGTCATATAGGTAGGGCAGCATTCCTGGAGGCTGCTGACGGGGCTATGATGGAATATGTCGACAATGCACAGACTGCAGCCGTGATGCTAGGTATGTGTCTCAAGGAGTAGCCCGTACGCTATGACGACGCACCAGTGAGCACGTATTATTACGAAGTACGTGTTAGGGGGTCGGGTTGGTCTAGTGGTTTGGTTGGTGATTCATGGTGACTGTCACACACTTCATTTGTCAGTCTTTTTCATCATCCCTGTTTACGTCTGCGCCTTAAACAAAGATTGTATGTTTGGTAAGATTAAGTACTTTAAAAGCACTGCGGGAATAGAGAATATATATAATAATAAACAGCATAATAGGTCAAAGCGCCGCAAAGTGGCCGAGCTGTTCGGGCATCGTTGCTACCTTGTACATAATAAATACACGCGTTGTGAGGGAAAGCGTGGACATGAAATCGGTAACAAAATCTTCACTGTAGAGCGACCCTAAAGGGTAAAACGATGCCTTACGCATTAGTAGAGTACAATTTGAGCATCCTTAACACACCACTCTTACCGCGACAAAACGCTTGGTATAAGCAACAAAACCCCCCAAACGTTAATGTTGGTGGAGACGCCACCTTGAAATTCCCGCACTGAACACCATGACGTTATAAACTTTGACGGCGTCTACTAGGTCATAAGTAGTTCTTTATCGCTAAATATAAAGCACCCTGCCCCCCCCCCCCCACTACCAAGCACCTTTTGACTCTACATACAGAGTTTCCGAAAATTGTGGTGTGCCAATATTGCTGAAATACGATAAACACTTCGAAATTCGTGACGTCACGCACAGAAGTTTCGCAGCAAAATTTAAAGTGAAACGTAGACCTTGACTTTTTCTATATGGTGGTGAAATTAGGTACATTAAAGTTTTGACAGCGTGATTTATCAGTATGAATCTTTTTTTAAATTGGTGTCACTTTAAAAAATTAGAGCTCCTACGGCGCTTTGACGCCATAATTCAGGCCTTGACGTAGTTCCGGGGCAAGTTTACAGTGGTCAGTTGCATAACGTCGTAGTTATGCACAGTCTTGCACAATAGCTCGTGACTATTGTGCAAGACTGTGAGCGCCAGAAAACTCGTGGTTTGGTTCAAATTAGCATACTATACAAATAAAGCTGCTATGCGAAGCCAACAGTACTACCAAAACGTATGGCTTCGTTTGGGGTCTGATTACCCAGTCTTTCGCCTTTAACGCTCATGTCGATTTACTCTCATCATTTGCGAACGTGAATGCACAGTGAAAGTTCACTATCTGTAAAGTGTGGGTTTGCACAGTAGAGGAGCACTGCTTTATGGAGCAAATATTTATTGAGACCTATTATAACGTATGCGTATGGGGCAACTCGCAGTGCCAGTGACGCGAGTTAAGATTGTGTCAAGTCCATCGACGCTGTACAACGCACCAATCACAGATAATTAAGTGCATAGTATATGGTACAAGAAGTCATGGAATATAAGCAGAGGTAGTCAGAATTTACATATTGATGGAAACTTTGGCTCTTATTCTTTCGTTAAGGTGGCAGTCCTGCACTGGCGACAACCGCTCCGCATTTTACACATTGCGTACACACTGTACTCGCTGCGCTTGACGAATAAGTTTGAATTTGGTAATTCAGGAAGCTTATGATATCCGCTTTCCATTGACATCTAGTGTTATTGGCTGGTAGAAAACGTCACCTAATAATGAAAATAGCGTGACCAACAAAAGGCTTTTTTTTTTTTTGTACAAGCCTCCGTTGTACTGCGAGTACGGCAAGACTGTTCAACATAACAAAGCGAAATTCACTGTCTTTATTCGAAGTGCTATTCGAAGTGTCTATGAAGGCATATTGAATATTAAATATTAAGTAATTTATTTAGCTCCAATAAAAAAGGCAAAATTATAAAAGTTCGCATGTGAATATTTTCTTTTTCTTTCAAAGCAGAACCATAATGTCCAGTGGTTCTGTAACTATATTACATTTAGTTTCGATGTGAATGTTATTTGTGCTGTGACAAAAAGTTGACGAATTATTATTGTGTGAATTGGGCAGTTTGTGGTTGTACTTGGTCATTACCAATGAAGCGACAAAACTGTACAAGCTGATACCCTTAACTTGTATATAATGAACCAGCAGACCAGTTTCTAAGATTCTATGAAGAGAAATTTTTTTTCGTCTTTATTAGGGTACCTACAAGGACACAGTGAACTTAGGTAATTTTTCTGCTGCCTTGTTGTGTAGAAAGTGGCTTTTTTAGGCGCTAATTAATTACCAACCACCATTGCGCATTAGTAGGTGCCTACTCTGTCTTGGATTTACTTGTGTTTACAAACTTGGCAACTCAGTGCTTCAAACAAAATATTTTCACGAAGTCATAAATCTTACAGGTGTTTTTTGGTGGTAGCGCTATCTACGAAATAAAAAGTCAAGTTGTTTTATGCGAGTTCAAACGTTCGCCAAGCGTGACGAAACTAAACATTAAAAAAGCTGGTAGAGCAGGCATCGATTATTTCTCCAGGCTCCATAGTTGGCCCCACTGGGTAAGTCTAGTGGCCACGCGCAACAAACACCAACCGTAAAAGGTGGAGGGCTTAGTTATATATCCTTTCCACCCGAACCACGTCAGCAGGTGGAATGGTTTCATCTACTGTATATGCTACCTTTAGGTAGCATATACAGTATATCCGTAGGGAGCATATACAAGAAGTATGTTCGGTCATTCCAGCAACGTAGGTGGCGCCACGCGGTCCGCCTCCGAAGCTGGCACGCGGTGATCACGCAGTTCAGCCACAGAACACCTATACACTTGGTTCAGCGTTCGGTCTCGCGGTAGTCATGGGCGCGCCTTGACGCACTGAGACGGTGGCGCTTTGCGGTGAGCCCATGACCACGTATTCTTCTGTGACACGCGTTGTCGGGAAGCGCATTTGTGATCTGCAGTAGGCTCAACGCATGGCAACCGCAGCATCGCGCTATTGGTCACACTCTCGCAGGGACGCTGCCGCGACGTGCGGCTAGCAACGGCCTCCGCGCCGTACTCTCGTTTCCAGGTTGCGCCGCGGCCATGTTGCGCCCGCGAAACACGCCGGCAGCTCATCGCGCTGTCGGGAAGCGTATGATTCGTAATATAGCCTCTTTTACCTCACAAACAAGCGTTAAAGCAGGTGAGCTTCGCCGCATTCAGACGATAACATCAAGCCAACAGGTTGACCATTCCCCCTGAAAGGGCGGGCGCAACGAAATGTGAAACTAGAGGTCCTGGCGTGCTTTGCTAGTCGTGACGCGCACTCTTACGAGGTCACCTGATCACCGTCTCGTCCACCATCTTGACCTACCGTTACGCCGCCTATCGTTGGTGGAATGATCCAATCAAACGGCAAATGGTTACGGTACACCGGAAAATTGCAGGTTCGTCGCGCGTCCGCAGAAGCAGCGTTACCTGGCGCATCTTTATAATAATGTCGTAATGCTCATCTCTTCGTCGTTCAGCTGCTCCTGCTTTGCACGTTCCTTTCATTGTTTTCGTGCCTGAGTTTTATTATTAAACGAGGGACGCTGACAGGCCGAGCAACTGACATATATGTAGGGTCACTTCAAAGGGGACAAGTAGTAACGTTGGGTGAATGTTCTCAAAGCCTGCAATTGGCGGGAATTTCAGAGTAAACTTGTAGAGCACCTTGCCGACAACATCTACTGACCAGTACTGATAAAAGATAAACAAGCAGGTAATTACTTTCTGGTTGCAATGATAAGACAGATACGAGACTTTGTCGAAGATGCAGGACGTTCTCGTCAACGTGGAACGATATGCAATGTAAGGGACCCTAGAAAAGATGACTCCCAAATGCACAGACGCCCTCACTACGGATAAGACGATCACTGTCTTTGCAATTCATGAGCACTACGATGTGAAAGCAGTTCGGCCGAGGAGGGCACCTCTAACTTGTGATAACGCTGTTTATCACAGCTACTTTGTTGTAAAGCAGTTTGCTGCCCAGTCAGAACTGCTACTAATGCCAGAATAGCACGAATAAAACAAAAGACGCACTCGGACGACGCTATCAAACCAGTGCCACGGCCACCACATACATCAAATATAAGGATAGTGGCCATGCTAGTGCACTGAAACGCTTCGAAGCCTTTGGTTTATGTTACGTTTATTCGTTATTCCATGAACGTGAGTAAGTGAGAGAGACGGAAAGAGTGTGTGTTTGTGTATGTGCGTATACGCGAGTGTTTACACTTGAGTGAAAAGACGTCGTTTTCAGTCTGCTGTCGCTGGAGCACCTTTCGTCGTGTCGTTGACGACAGCAACAGTTGGGCGATCATAGCTGAAAGACACCGTCCGCGTTTCTGCTCCTTGCTTTTCGTTGGCCGATTTCCGTCACCTCGCTCGAAATACAAGAGACGCGAGAGGCGACGCTGACCACATTTGCGCGCGCAATTTTCTCGCTTTTTATAAACGTGAATGAGTGGCGTCATCTGGTGTCGTTTTTCGAACTATTGGCAAGATGGAGGGAGTGGAATCGTCACCTCAAAACCTCTTTTTACCCCTTCTCTGCGATCTAGAATGAAGGTTACAATTCAGAGGCTTTGTAGACGCCACAGCAATTATTGCACGTCTCATCGTACACTTTCACATGTAGAGGGGCAAGCACAAAACGCCTTCAAAGGACGTACTTGCGTATGTACGCACGACTATTCCATGAGATGATTCATTTGAACGAATACGATGTAGTCTTGAAAAACACTCACAATCAAAGAAATGTTTGACACTTGAGTTTAATAAGGATTAAACCAACTGACAAACTTCAGGTCAATGCTTGATGCAAGCACGATACTATAGCACATGAGAGCGTCATTCGCGTCTCTTTTGCATTCCCTTTATATCAAGTTATATAAACATACCTATTTTATCTTTTTGTGAAGTGCCAAAAGGCGGCATTTTATAAAGATGAGTGCATGGCACAAAAAAAAAAAAACTCTCAGTGTCATCTAAAGCACTACAGCGGCTACGATTTCTCCATAATTTCTGGAACTGAAGCATGAATTCATTGCCGTAACAACGCAGCCGATCAGCCGAGTTTACCAGAACATGAAGAGTCCGTTTTTATTACACGATAAGTCGGATTAGTAACGAAAAATTCATTCCCCTAAAGAAGTGGAGTAGAAGTTATTCGAGGAGTTGGCAAGTACATATAATGATAAAGCATTGTTTCTAAATCATCTTGCCTTGTATAACGCTGACTCAAAGACCGAACGATATGATTACATGTAGCTCTAGAGTAAAGAAAATGCATAAACGACGGAGCGCACGTGCCTAACGTATGCATTTGCAGCACTTAGTATTACTAACAAAGTACCGCGCACTGTTGAGCTTGAGCAAAGAATAATAATGATAGTGATTGTCACATGGACAGGCTTCGTGCATGGTATCTTCAGAGGCCAACCAGAAAGCCGCTGAACTGCGATCCTTCGTGGATGGTGATCTGATACGGTGTGCGGTTGTGGAACCACAGCGAGACGACTTGGCCAGCCTGCGATTGTCGTGGAAAATAAAAAAGCATATAAGATTTTTTATGTACACAAAATTTAAATAAAACTTTTTTTCCAGGTATCTAGTCTGACTCAACTACGCAAAGTCAAGCTCTAAGTGTAGATTAATGATAAAGCCTTTGGTCTTGCCAGCGCGAGAGCCGAAATACAGTTTTTGATAACTAGTACAAAACTTTTCTAGCTACAATAATACTTTTTATCATCCCCTGTCCATGACATCATTGTCGCACATGCTTTAGAGGCCTCATCAAGTGCGAAAATTGACTTGCATCCCACGGCGGTGTTTCCCGTCGGGCACGCGAACTCGAGGGATGCAAAAGATCATCAGAAGATAACTTCACAATGAAGTCACCGTTACCAAGACATGTGACGTCATCATTATATCCCACGATGATAGCATCATCTAACGTCGTAACTTGGTTAATGGTGGGCTGATCACGGAGGCTAGGCAAAACCAGGTGAGGTGCCCCCGATATTTGAGGCACTGCGAAACCACATGTGTGAAGAAACCCTCCAGCTGTCACAGTTTCCTGTTAGTTTTTTTTAATTTTTTTCAGCTCTTTGTTTGGCAAGCAACACTTGTGCGCTTTTTCTAAAAAAAAAAAAAAAAAAAAAAACATGGATTCAAAGTGCTTCGTGCCGGGGTCCACTAATACTTCAGTGGCGCATTTCCGCCCCGGAAATAGCATCGAAAGAATGGACACAAGCAGATCGCAAGGAATTGTGGTTAAGCAGCCGTGCTCTCCTACAGTTGCCGATAATAATAATAATAATAATAATAATAATAATAATAATAATAATAATAATAATAATAATAATAATAATAATAATGAAGCATTGATCAAGGGTTGGAATTTTGAACTATAGCGGAAATCTTTCTCCAACTGCGCGAATATTTCAAAGGATGAAACGGTATACTGCTCTCCTTATTTTTCTAACTGATCAATGGGGACTTGTCTCTTTCGGCAATAAAAGCAAAAGCTTCAGACCACAAGCTAGAACCTAAACAGAAACAACGCAATATCTTCTAAACTGTATCTTACTGAAATGATTCATTTTTTTTCTTTGTTGAGTTCAAATTTCTGTTGTTAAATAACGCCGATATCACTGAAAACAACCACAGTTTTCCCATATATTGACGCACTCACCCGAAGCATCAGGGGCCCGTTGACCGCCAGGGACATGGTGTACTCGCCATCACTGAACTCGCTCGTAGTGCGGAGGGACCTGAAAAAAAATACATATGCAAATGTCGTGACTCGGTGAGGTAATAGCACACGTTGTGTGCGACTGCTCCTTGACAAATAAAAGCCGGTGCAGTGCCAGAAGCTTGCGTTAACACGATCGCAGTACTTTCGAAAACATCTTCTGATAATATTTAACATATATACAGTGTCCTTGCCAGGCTGAGATGTAATGAGTAGCCATGCATTTTATAAACACTTTCGACAATAAAATGATCAACATAATATTGATCGATAAGTGGGGTTTAACGTCCCAAAACCACCATATGATTATGAGAGACGCCGTAGTAGATCTAGGGCTCCGGAAATTTCGATCACTTGGGGTTCTTTAACGTGCACCCAAAATTGAACACACGGGCCTACGACATTTCCGCCTCCATCGAAAATGCAGCCGCCGAAGCCGGGATTTGATCCCGCGGCCTGCGGGTCAGCAGCCGAGTACCTTAGCAACTAGACCACCATGGCGGGGCGATCAACATATTATGTGTCCCTTAATATTGCACTCACGGTAAGACTGAAATACTAAACTTAGGCTTATAAGGAATGAACTCCATGTGGTCAACATTACATTGTAAAATGATGTTAAAAATAACAACATCATTTCAAAATTTATTTACAACCAGCTGGTTTTGGTAAACGTGTTGCTAAACGCAAGTACACAGTGCGAGCGCATTCTGCCCCCGTGAAAGCGTGTTCGACGTGGTCGGGAATCCCGCCCATCTCATTAGCCTGAAACGCTGGCGAACCACAGTTCTGCTGAATGAATCCAGGGCTCCCTCTCGTGTACTGACTACGTGCCACTGTTCGGGATACTCACAGGTTCTTTTGGCACCTCGCGTTCACGCACACCAGGAGCGACGCGTCGTTGGCGGACGTTTCCAACTGTTTGCGCAGAGCCCTCGCAGACGTCGGCCTGGTTGCGAAAGCCGTGGCGAAGAAGAGGTACAGTCCGCTCAGGGGCGCCCGGAACATGCCACGGGTCGCGTTCAGACCGGAGCCGCGCTCGAAGCTGCCCTCGGCGAACGGCTGTGGCGAAAAATAGTTGTTGAGCATTGCGTTGTTGTTCAAGAGCTCACTCGCACACTTCAAACAGAACAGAGCTGATCGTGAAGTACAGCGAATGCGTAAGCAATTAAGCTGCTCACTCACAACAGGGAGAAAACAAGTTCAGAAACTTCCCCTATCGGGAAAATGACACCGGACGACTCTATAAGACATGGGTGCGTCTACCGTACCGGTAGTCATTCATTCATTGATTCTATCTTTTCTTTTATTTCTTTTTCTTTCTTCCTTTCTTTCTATCTTTTCTTTTCTGTTTCTTTCTTTTTCTTACTTTCTTCAACGGCTGTCTAGATAAGAAATATCAAGCCCGCAGCCCGCGGGCCACATGTGACATGTTGACCTTTCGCTAATGCCCCGACTCCCACAGGACTGTCTTAACCCGGTTTTTATTTTTCTTAACAGTATGTTCATGAGCTACACCAACGGGAGTGGTGTGAAGTAATTTGTTCATGTAAATGGTAAGCATGCAACAATAACTGTACGTATCAGAAACAGCGCCTGAATTTCAGTCATTCTGGATACCAGTATACACGAACATTTTCCCCCGAACTTGACGTCGCATCTTCTTCAGAAAGGAGCCTTGCAGGCGATACGAAAAAGGCATTTTTTAAATGACAATTTTAGCTGACATTCTGTTCGTGCTGCCAACCCCCCTCCACCCCCCTACGTTTCGTCCATCGTCACGATCTCGGCTCATCGGAAGACTGAAGTTCATGACTGCGGCCCGCTGGCTGAGTTGAGATTGAGACTTCTGTTCTACATGGTGGTCAAGTTTTATAGTTCCCACACTCGAACATTCACCTAGGTCACACAGATTCTGAGATATTGAATGTCGAGATATCGCGGTGAAGGTGCTGAATACGTGAGCACTGGACAACAGAACTATCACTCATTGACCCCCGTCGCAGTCACCTTGCGGAACTTCCACCAGATTCAACAGGAGACACGCTGCAGGGAACTCAAACAACGAGGTCAGTGGCCCAATCGCAGTTCTACAACGAGCCACCCAGCTTTGCCGGGACTGCCGCCGAGGACTTCGACGATTGGTTAAAGCAACTTAATGGTTGGGACTTAACTGAGCAAACTTAACGGTTGGGACTCAGCAGCTCAGCTGCCACATGTAGTACTCTCGCTCACGAGTACTGCTTAGAGAGATTAGACCCACTAACAATGTTTCGAAATGTTAATTGGCCCCAAACCGAATGCACGAAACTTCGAAGAAGTTTATTAAGTTGTGACTCACCCTGTGAAAAGGGTGTAGGCGCAGCTCCTTGCCCTTCCGCGCTCGCATTTCGTCCGAGAGCTCCCAGAAGAAGCCTGACTGAGCTCGGGGCATCATGCTGGCGCGGTCGATCTCCACCAGGGGTGGCAGCCACGGCAACAGGGAGTCGCTCCCGTTCATGTCACCCGATAAAGGCAGGGTGCAGTTTGTCGTGTTGTGGCACTGGATGACGAAAAAAGAAAGTCACTCGCTTTACTTGCAGAGCCACCTTCTCAAGTGGTGACTAGAGCAGTAGAATAGATGATTGAAGTTTCGCTCCTGACTGTTCTAGGTATCACTGATATTTTTTCTGCAAACTGTTATAGTATAGTATAATATAGTATAGTGTAGTGTAATATAGTACCTTAAACGAACACTACAGGAAAAAAAAGCAGCACACGTGTTATTCGAAGGTCTCAGGTTGTGGATCCTGCCGGTGGCAAGTTTTTTTAGACCACGTTTCTTCGTTCACATTTACAGTACAATCACTTCTCATTATTCCCAGTAACTCTTTCGGCATCATTTTCTGTGGCTTTTCATTAATTTCTCGCATTAGAAATTTAGTGATTCCCAATTCCATTATCACCCCTATCATTACGAGAATACGCTATAGCTAAGCGAGAAAATGTGCAAAAATAAAATGCGCGTACCAGTAATGCACCAATCGTCAAGGTGTCATACATATTGACGTCATCTACTAGGACTACGTAGTACGTAGTTCCTATTCAGCAAAAACAAAGAATATCTTTTTCCGAGGGGGCCGTATCGCTAACATGTAAACTTTCAGGAAATTTTATGTAACCAATGTCGCCAAAATACGAAGAATGCACTTTTAAGTCCCTGACGTCACGTGTGGCAATTTCGGCGCGCTGCTGTTTTCTTTATTAATAAACCTACGATGAAGGAATTCTGAGAGTACACGTTTACAATCTACATCGATTCAGTGTTTTACTTTAGTGACCATTGAACGTGGGTGAGTCGCTGTAACACACTAAATCAAAACGCTGCACGATTACACGAATACCAATAAGAAACCGCTACAACAGAAAAGAGTTATTTTTGCGCTTGCATATTGTTGCCTTCTGGTTTTCATGTTTCTGTGTAGCGTATTTGTTAAGTAGTATAGGGTAGCAGTATATTAAAATCTGGTATATTGAAACATGAGCCAAAGTGAGCCGCTCTATACAAGCTTCGGCGGTGTTCCTATGGTAGGGTCAAACAGCCGCACGCCATGTCACGTTACACAATGAACAGAATTTCCGATTGGTTATGTTAATCTAGCTTAAAGGGCCAGTCAACAGGCTCCAAAACTTACAGGAAAAGCTCGTACATTTCTCCTGCACGTGACCAACCTCCTACCACGCGTAGTGATGTCAACTCGGCGATCAGCGACGTGACGCAGCACGCCGATTGGTCTAAACCAGGACTAAACAAACAGTAGTGAAGTCAACGTCACCGATCATCGATTTGACGTCACTGAGCGGGAAAGGGGGTTGGTCAGGCGTATGAAAGGTGCGCGAGCTTTTCCTGCGCATTTTGAATCCTGTTGACTGGCCCTTTAAGAAGGCAATTTCGGTACACTGGCGTAGTTATTCTATAGTTTCACAATAACGAAAGCCCTAGTGGAAAGAGGACGACAAGGAACGCATACAAGATACACCCCGCCTCCCTTGATGTTTTCACTCTTGTTAGCACACAAAGCCATATTCACGACCATCGATACGCAGAACCGAATCATCAAAAAGATAGTTTGATTGATATGTGGGATTTAACGTCCCAAAACCACCACATGATTATGAGAGATGCCGTAGTGTAGGGCTCCGGAAATTTCGGCCACCTGGGGTTCTTTAACGTGCACCCAAATCTGAGCACACGGGCCTACAATCAAAAATATAGTACAACACTGTATTACTCAAGCACTACAACAAAAACTCTAAAATTCGAAAAACCTTGAAGGAAGCAAAATAAATTAATATGAGAGAAAAATTAAAGAGCATTCTGCACTTGCTACTCCTGCTTAGTAATTACTCATTTCGTCTGCCTTTGTTCTTTTTCCTCAGTTTCTTCTTTTTTTTTTGGTGTGTGTGTTTTATTTTCTGGTATCATGTGGAAATTGTAGTTGTGTAACTTTCTTTATATCGCGATGCAAAGTACTGTCGGCCTCTAGTTAACTGTGTCTATTGCAGTCTAGCGTTGTGTGTGTCTCTGCTTGACACTTCTATAATAACACAAATCGCACCTCTTCAGCGTATGGTTACGTAATAACACGCCGGTTCTGAACACTACAACTAACTACTTGATCTGACCAGAAAGGCAGCCACTGCTGCTCTAAGCTAAGACCAATCGCCATGACGAAACGTTAGCCCCCCAGCTATGTTCCCTGCTAAGCCATTCCCGATCACTAGTATATATATATATATATATATATATATACATATAAATATATATATATATATATATATATATATATATATATATATATATATATACATATATATATGTGTGTGTGTGTGTGTGTGTGTGTGTGTGTGTATATATATATATATATATATATATTGTCATTTGCTTTTCAAATGTGCTCATCTGTCTGTATACAAAAGTAGGTGCCCGAGAAGCAGGCTCTCGAAGCGCACGAGAGATCAACAAAGATCGTGTCAAGTTACCTGTCTTCCAGAGGCAACGCACTAGCTCCAGTTGCTCGTACACACACTGAAGACTAACAGCGTTGTAAACGGCCACTTTGAAACCTAAATTAAAGAAATGCTTGAAGAAATCAATCGCATGAAGCTTTCAATAACGCAGGGAATCATTGTGCAATTCACATAATGCCCATCTAACAGCTGTGAATGAAGTTTATTTGAGGGGTACAAAACATTATGGGCGTCGTAAGCCATAGAACAATGTCTGAAACAAATATACATGAAAAACAAGTTCTGAACATTGTATACTTCGCTAAAGTGCATTAGTCGGCAAGTCTAAAAAGACACACAACTGTTCAACTAACCTGCATTTCAGCCATAACTTGGGCTCGCCTTTCTGCAGCCTCTGCAAAATTAACAGGAAGTACATCTAAATAAAGAACGACACGACTAATATGATGTCAAATGCAATTAGCCTTAGATCACTCACCTCGCGAAAAATCCTGGAACTTAGCAGCACTATAGTATTCAACATGCTTCACCAAGAAGCTCGCTAATTGTGCTTAGCAGTAGACCAGAAAAAAAATCTCATGATTTTATTATAGCTTTGTCACACACATGCAACCATCTGAATCGTGACACGTGATGACATGCGTATACATGTATACACGAAAAAGAAATTCGCTGGTTTTGCATAGTGCCTTTTAAAATACTGCTGACACGAATCTAATAATTTTCGGGGCTGTTGCTCTCAATAAAACGGGAGGTGCCGAATAACCTAAAGGAGTCTGGTAATGCATCGAACACGTTTCTTGTAACGACCACACTAAAAAAAAATACACATCCGGTTTCGGTTTCTATATTGAGGGCAGCTTGTCAGCGACGTGTCATAGCAGTGTCACGTCATGGGTAGACAGAAACTGATGACGTAATGGCGACGAGTCTGTCATGTGCTCGCGGCACACACCAACAACGATGCTTGAATTGTCATCCAGTGAGTCTGGCAGTGATTTCTGCGATATGGGCTGCATGTAGGATGCGGAGCTCGCATGCTCAAAAACAGGGGCCATGACACAAATTTTGTGCCACGGCGCAAAAATTTTCGATGGCAGGGGTGAGGGGCCCTCTGTTTCACTCCACGGCAACGCCATCGCTCAGGAACTGTCATGACTCGTCGGGATAATCAACATTCTGGTAAAGCTGGCTTGATGATCAGTGACGAAAACTTTAAAGTCAACCTAAGGTATTTTATACATGTTGTCAGCCTCCACTGTATGGAGAGCGCTGACATCGCAAAATGATAATAGGCAGTGTCAACGCTCTCCTTATAACATTTTTGCGATGTCTGCAAATTGTGTCAGCCTCATTTCAATAGTTCCCTAATAACACGTAGATTTGAAATAACTGCTTTCGCAGTGTGTCGTGTTTCCGAAGTGAGTTTGGTTTGCTCAACGCACTGGTACACAAAACTGGCACGTGACGCAAGATCGCTTTACCGAACCGTCTATAGTTTGTTATATAACAGAAATGTTGATAACTTGTCAGCTATATTTTATGTCATCTTACCCTTCACGAGGTGCTCCCTTAGCTTAGTAATTATAACGTCTCGTTGCTGATCTCATGGTCTGGGGATCGATGGTGGTGGCACATCATCGAGGGTTGGATTTCGATAGATATAAAAGAGTCCTATATAGTTTAAATTATCTGCAAGCTTACATTATGGGTGCCTGATTAAAAATTTTTGTTCCGGTAAATAAATTTAGGAATGTGTTGTGCGTAAATTTAAAACAAAAATGCTGCATGGACTACAAAAAAAACGAGATCACCAAGCCAACCCTCCGCAACTATTCGTTCATGCGCGCGCTTTTGAGCGCAATCACGTACAACTAGACATCATTTTTCCCACCTCTCAGGAGCCCCTTGAATTCCCTGAACATATCTTCTCGCGTGATGTTGGCACCCGGTGGGCCTCTGGGACCTCTGGGACCAGGGGGGCCCTGCGGTCCTTCCTGCAACAAGCGAGAGGTCAAGGTCACTTCCTCGGCACGTCTTAGGAGACAGAAAATAAAACAGATTTCATGAAAAACAGTCTCCGGCTGTTGTCGGTGCACAATATGAGGCAATATGTATCGTGCCCATGACAACTCGCACGTATATGTCACACTGGATGTGTTACATACGGCAAATTGATTGTGAGAACAACTCAACCGTTGAATCGAGAGCAGTGAAGACCGTGCCACGGCTTGACACTTTCTAGCACACACAAAAAGCTTGTGACCATAGATTGCGGCAGCACGAGTCGGCTGTACCCTACAGTTAAGCGGTGTATTGAAAATGTATCGACCAGATTCTTTTTCACTCTCGCGCCCACGTTTGAAGCAAGCATGCCTAATCTTAACCCCAGTTGTCATCTGTAGGCAAGAACAGCGTAGGAGATGCGGAATGGTTACGTCACCGCCGATAGCGAGTGAAAATCGGTGGCCATGATATGATAACAACAAACTGGATGATCGCTTAGTAACTCATTCCACGTATAATCAGCAACCCCCCAGCGAAGATGCCTGTGCCTTGAAAGTGATAAAATTCTTGGTCTACAGACTACAATGAAAACTAGTGAAACGAAACTGGCTGTTTCATTAAAAAAAAAGATGAAGATCTCTCCCATCTTGTGAGTCCTGCCTTGCGTGAGTCCTGTGTTCATCAGGTTGAGGTCAATGGGCAGGTCGACAAATTTGGCGAATTCATGCAGTTTCGCAAGGGACTAAATAAAAAATTCAATCAGGGCAGGTTTTTGCCTTTGTTTCTTTAGCTCTGTGCAGCAGTGATGCTAGAAAGCTGTCACAGCACTCTTGCTTCACAAGACACAATATCTCCTTACGATTGGCTCGGGCCACGCTGGTACTCTGTGATATCATTGTAGGAATAACTTGTTTCCTGACCTTTTGAGTGTGTTCTCGCGTACGAATGCCAACGAAAGAGTGCAGCTAAACGGCGTTGGTGTTAGCGAAATTTATCTGCCCAGAGATAGATCTGACTACCAGAACTGTACGATCAAAAATGCACTACCGCAATGTACTACGAAAGTGCACTACCGATAATCAGGAGCTGTACGGTACAATTCTGACCATTCTGAGAAAAGACGGATCCACTTTCTTCTTAGGTCTGGCAGTCTGCGTCCTCTCAGAATGACGGAGAAACGTCGCCCAGGTCTCTCGGGGGTCCAGAGTCGTCTGTCGTCCGATCCGCTTCTCTGGCTGAATTCAGAAAGAAAATATACAAAGCCACTTTATACACTCAATTTTCTGTTGAGACTGTATACCAATCGTGGAAAGATAGGAGCTAGTAGATAGTGCCCTAGATTCTCTTTTTTTATTGAAAAATGAATTATTATAGGTGGCACGTCACATACCCGCCAATCTAACGGAAGCCCGTCGTAGCACGGCAAAAACACTGTGGCACATGTATGGCAGCAAAGAAATGAAAACGCTAGGAATTGAAAAACAAATACACATTAACGTACTGCACGCATAGTCGCTGTGCTCCATCTTATATTTATTTATTTATTTATTTATTTATTTATTTATTTATTTATTTATTTATTTATTGGTACCTCAATGGTCCCGAGGGGCGTTACATGAGGGGTGGGTATCATAAGTAAAGAGAAAACGATAAACAATCTAACAATGAACATCAATAAGACATCAATTATATTTGTGTTTTGCGCGTTACTATAAATTCAGGCCAACTATAGCACTCGTGGAATTCTTGAAACTATATCCCCAGTCGTGTTAAAATACACCTTACAAGGAATCAGTCCACGAGATATAATGCTCTTGTAAGTTCGACACGTTTGAAATATATCTAATTACCAAGGCTCTGTACTTTCTTTCCATCTTTTTGAATGCTGTAAACGTTACTAAGGCGATGTTGTAATATGTATTTCTGTTGCTTTCATTAAACTTGAAAAGATGAACAGAGACCGTTACCTTTATAGGTGAAGACACTAACTAAGCACACCAGTTAGGAAAAAAATATAATTGCAGATTTCAATGAAGACGTTCTCAACTTAGGAAAACTTTCCCAAGTGCAAAAGTCATATTTGCAAAATGTTTCAGCGCGCGAACAAAGGAAAAAGGACAGGGTAGACAGAAAGAGCGCTGACTTCCAACTAACTTTATTTCACAGAGTGGCAAGAGTATATACTGCTAAAAAAGATGATAACAGAGCATGAAGGTAAAATGCAAAAGTCAATCAGCTGTAATGAACTCAACGAAAGTGGATCAGGCAACAATAGAAAAATAATATGGTAAAAAGTTTATTGGGGGTACTTCGTGTTCTGCAAAGAGGAATTTCACATCATCGATAAGTTATGCTAGGTGCACACACGTGAGAACATACTGAAGTGAATGAATAAGGTAATTGTAGGTTTTTAAGCACGAAGTCTCTACGTGGGTCACCGTGTAATCATCAAGAGGTTGACGGGACTTTTCAACATAGACAATAGCGCATACGCCACACAGGAAGACTTTCGTCAAGAAAACTTGAAACACGACCTATTTTACACAAAGATTTTACCAACAGACTCGAAAGAACAGCTCAGTAAAGCTAATACACAATACTCTGTTTGTTGGTACTACCACGGATGTGTGCTTAAAATAATGAAGACGCAGTGCACGTGTTTCTCCTTTTATTATTTTCCCCCAGCTCTTCCCAGAAAAATCTCTTTCCAGGACGCCTGGCGAACGGCCAGCTTTGTCTGCTTTCGGGACGGTGCACGACCAATCGATGAACAAGGGCGGAACTTGGCTGCAGTTCAACTTGAGCTACATAGTGTTGCCGATTTTTCCTCTATTTCCCTTCCATTCGTTCTCATCACCGGACGTAGTGAACCGGCCTTCCTCCCAACTTCCTACAAGTACACGTGCTCGGTGCCTTTGCGATAGTTTTTCATTGGCAGTGCGTGGTATGGCACGCGCATTCCATTAGTTTCCGCCTCTGTCCTTCATCCCTCCCGGCAACAAAGGAGTGTTACCGTATTGAAAGCATTGTTGTCGCTGTTGTTTACATCACTGTTTGCGTGCATCTTGCTGTCGACAACAACAACAACAACAACAACCGCAGCGACAACGCTCAGCTTTTAGCTAAACTGTGAACGTGGGTCTCGCGAAGCGAAACTTGGCGAGCGTTTTCGATGGGAAACGCCGGAGTGACAAAAGGAGAAAAAAAAAGGTCGATAAGGATGGAGAGATGGGTGTGCTCGAAAAAAATAATTGCAGTCCTTTTCTTGGCTGCCCCAGAAAGTCAAGGGCGTTCTGGCACTGTGATGCCTTTCAGGAATTCTTTTTAATGATGTTCATGTCGCTTGGCTACCCACGTTTGTTCTGGGCAAGAGCAGAAGTGTTGGCAGGAGTTGTAGCAACGCGTACGAACCAAAGGATAATTCACAGTAGCCAGCAACACTTTAGCGTAAGCGATCATGGGCACGAGGCCTTACTTCCGAGTCACGGGTGAATTTTACCACTCATTACTGGATGGTGTATTGCATCCTCTCGCATCCCTACCCTCACTCCAGCTTCCCTTTCCTAACCGTTGATATACTATGCTCTACCAGTTAGACTTTTTTAACCCTCTCACCTCCAGTTTGTGCTGATCCTTTTCCTCCACCTCGCCTTAACATCAGTCCTCCTCACCCTCTCTTTGCTTTCTCATCCCCTTGCTAAGCTCGAATATACAAGGCCCTGTCCTCTTTCCTTCTAATTTCATTAGCCCTCTTCCTATCATTCCTCCCCTTCGCCGCTACTTCTCTTTCCCACCTGTTCGATACAGTATATTGCGCACGGCTCTTCTATGTTCAGAGGTGCTTGGGATATAACCGATTCCTGGGGTGCATGAGCGCCGAGTTTCTGAATTCGACGCCGGAAAACCCCAAAGCCTTAAGAGTTCGCTGTTAGAACACTGAGTTTCAGAACCAGCGCGAACATGTCTTTGTTCATCCCTCCATTTTTTCTCGAACAATTATTGCCTAATACCAGAGTACAACGTCACCAGTCAGTCGGGTAAGTTTGTTTGGGCACACAAGTGAATGCGAAAGAAACAAGCCAAAGGCAGAATCAAAATATAAGAGTTACTGCAACCCAGTCAGCTTTCAACTGATGATCTTCAAAGAGCGAATGACCTCAATGGCGCATCGATTCGGGGCAATCAATTTTCAACTTGGCCACTCCGCAACTCTTTATTCCATCGAAGCAGTAAACATAACCTTCAGGCGGGCTTTTTTTTTTCTACATTGAACATGAAGTTTTCAGCTCGACGTCTTCGTTAGCCGTTTCAAACAACACGAAAACAAACACTCTTGATAATGATAAAGATTACCGTAGTGCATGCCTTGCTGATAGAATCACAATAATGATAATTCGCTCCACATTTCCTCTATCAACGCAATTCGTGGTCTTCCACTCGAACGTGTCGGTTATCGATTCAGTGCGATTCTGTCTTGCGGTTGATGTCTTGAGTAAGCTCTTGTTTTTGTCGCAATGCATTGCAAAGAAACAAAAGTCACAAGTACAACAAAAAGAGCAGAGCTCCTTGAACGACTTGCCTGGCAGCGCGAGAATCTATAATAAACAAAACAAGGAGATAGTCGGATCAATGAATCCCCCAAAGAGAATGCCCCTGGGCTTTTCTATTGCTCACTCTTTTGCTGAGTCGTAGCTATGTTACCCAGCCACCAATACACTTCTTGATTTTGCACCTGGAACCGCCTGATCACCACCAGTGTGGTGGAAACAAGTATCGCATCCACAACAACATGGGCGCCCTATTAGACGCGCGTCCGCAAAATGGACCACTTACTGACGAAGCAAAGATACAGACCAATGAATGAATCTCAGAGTCAAAAACAAAAAAAAGACTGGGCCGCTGATGCACGCCTGCTCATTAGAGCCCGCCATTCGCTGCATGAAAACTTCTTTTTCTCGATTAGTACGAAGTTTCTTTAGGGTTTCAAATCGCATTTGCCAAAGACTAAAACGAAACGATGGTGCGAGTTATTGCAACCGGCCTCGGGCTTGCCACAGTGTAGACGCACAAAAAAAAAAAAAAAAAAAAAGAAGCTTGAATGCTGTCGGGGAGGGGAAAAAGAGTGGGTGTAGAGTGGGCAGCCGAGAACTGGTGGAGTGGTCACTTGTACTCCAATCAGCTGGAACGAGCACGTATCTGCAGCACTGGTAGACATTAAAGAAACAGCGAGCTGGTTTTAGACTCAGCTCGATGGCTGCAACCCAGCGATCTATGTTTCCCTTTGTTGCCAGCGATGGTAACGTTACAACTGGCATGGTATAACGTTCAACATGAAAGCATTAGCACAGAGATAAACGAGAGAGCAAGGAGAGCGTTGTCAAGGTAGTAAAATATTTTGTGCAGCTTGCACCTATTGTCCCGCAAGGCTGGGTCCCGGCAGAGCTGATGGCCACTTCGATGGTCCTGGCTTGGCGAGGGTCTTACTTTCTCACCTTTCTCTTACTCAGGTCTAGCTATTCTATCTTATCCTATACTACACATGGTCATGCTTGCTTTTCTTTTTTTTTCAGTCTTCGACCTCGTTCTGTTCATGTCTATTCGTTTGGCTGTCTATCTATTCACTTCCTGTTTTTCTTCTTTTTTTCATCTGTTTTTTATTCTACGTCTTTCCTTTTCTCCGTAACCGTTCTTTCACCTATTTTTTAACTATTTCGATTTCACGGGACCAACTTATGCAAACGCACATTGCGATGGATGCCGTCATAGCCCACATCACACATAAAAACATTCCTGTGTGTGTGTATGTGTTTTCGCTTCCCTTCCCCTACCTCATTCCATCTTTTTTACTTTTATAGCTCCCCTTCCCCATTCCCCAGTACAGGGATCAAACCAGATACTTGCTTTTCGGTTAACCTCCCTGCCTTTCTTCATGTCCCATCTCTCCTTCACTCTTTCTAATGCTCATTACCACCCCATTGCAACACTGCCATCAGAAAGACCATCGCCGTAGTATTGTATAATGAGTTCAAACTATACCACGAAACTTCCGCCAGGCTTCATTCTCGCATCTAAGCCAGCGATACATTCGTGGTGCTTCATTCGCCTTAAAGTCCACCTCAACGTACCGCGAATCAAAATATAATCTTTGCTCTCAAAAGAACCAGGAACCAGAAAAAAAAATCTCTGGTTCTTTTGTACGATAACTACGCCG